TCGTGTATGAATTAAATTAACTAATTATGGGATGCTGTATAAACACTATAGTTGTTTTAGTTGTATCTATATCTACTTTTAATTTCATTAAAAGTCTTTAATCTTTACTTGTTTATTGTATTTATGTCCTCACATTTTTTTTGTCACATCTTTATCCTCAATCTTTCAAAAATAAGCACATCTTGTCATTTCTGTAAGCATAGTTTAAAATGAAGGGTATATATAGTGTTGCACTTTTATATTCGTTCTTTGTTCAAAACATGAGGGGCAGATAAGTCATTTTTCATTTTCTTAATGGACTTTTTCAATGGGAACCATTTTCATAGACTAAATTTGCTAAATAACGAAAAGTTGAGGGTAAGAATGTGAAGAAAAAATTGAAGACATAAATGGGAGATTGAACAAAAGACGAAGAAGTTTTAGTGCAAATAAAAAATAGTATAACTAAAAATAATATGAATTGTGGTGACAATATATAATCACCCAAAACTTAAAGAAAATTAGGCCCTGCACTATTTTTGTCATGATAACATGAAAAATCCAATTTTTACATTTTATTGAAAAATATGTTGAGCAAATTATTGTTTGTGCAAAACCCGCAATTGTAAGGATCGTTGACAAGTAATAATGCAATGAGTAAGAAGTATTGTCCCACGAGGAGTAATATTTAATTATAGTGTATTAGTATTTATCAAATTTGATTTGTGGTAACACAAAGCGAGTGATTGTTGAAATTCTTTTTTCTTTTATACTAAATTTAACTACAAAAGTAAATAAACGTTGATTTTTAATATGACATGAATGTATTATATTTTTTACTCCACTATTGACTTTTAGTTTCAATTCTCGACTTGTGTTGATTAATGTTATTAACATGTTTGTAACGATTGATAACCCAATTTTATTCAATATTATTTACCAAGATATATCAAACTTATATTTAACACGATCCGACCCTATTTCTAGTCCAATTTCATATGAAACATGCATTTAAATATACAATCATCATGAGCGATCGCACACGCCATAAATATTATTTCTAATACATTATTACTTGTGTGTTCCACATACAAAGTTCTATCCATTGTGCCAACACTATATGTTCTAATGGTGCGCAAGCATTAAAATAACCATAATTTATGCATATGAAATCACAAACACAAAAAGAACTTGAAAAACGATAAGTCTTAAATTGAAACTATATCATCCACCCAATACATAGATTTGTTTAGTCAAGCATCACCATATGAAAATTACACACAAAAAAAGAAAGAAAGAAAAGAGAGAAGATATCACTCGAAATAAGGAATATAATGAAGAACCTGAAAATTCCAATTATTCACTTTAATTTTCAACCTAAAGGATGAATTTTGAATGTTATAATCCTTCTCGCTCTCTCAAACAATGAAAAAAAGATACTTCTTATGTTCTGGACGACTTATAATATATATAGAGTGCCAAAAAATTACATACCAAAAGTTTCTAAAATGTGAAAATGAAATAAAAACTTTTTTCCAATTTTTACTCCTTAACGGCTTATGGTATGTCTTAGTGAAGTTTCTTATAATTAAAATGAATAAATAAAAAGTTAAATTTTTACTCTTTATCATACATGGTATTAGAATTACCCTTTGTTATCATATCATATGGAGAGACATAAGTAAACAAGACACTAAACAATCTTTACCCTCGTGTATAAATTAAAATAACTAATTATGGTGTGCCGTATAAACATTGTAGTTGTTTTTGTATCACCTCTCAATTTCATTAAAAGTCTTCAATCTTTACTTCTTTATCGTACTTACGTCCTCACATTTTTTGTTTCATCTTTTTCTTCAATCTTTCATAAATAAAAACATCTTGTTTCTGATTATGATTTCTATCCAAATATTATGCAAGCATAGTTTAACATGAAGGGCATATATAGTGTTGCACTTTTATATTCGTTTTTTGTTCAAAACATGAGGGACAAATAAGTCCTTTTTTCATCTTCTTAATTGAATTTTTCGATGGAATCCATCATCAGGGACTAAATTTGCTAAATAATGAAAAGTTGAGGGTAAGAATGTGAAGAAAAAAATTGAAGACATACATGTGAGATTGAGCAAAAGATGAAGAAGTTTTAGTGCAAATAAAAAATGGTAGAACTAAACATAATGCGGATTGGCAATAATCTTAAAGATTATGTTACTGGTACAGCAATTTTGACAACCCTAAATTTAAGAAAATCATATCTGCACTAGTTTTGTGATGAAAATTTGAAAAATCCATTTTTTTATTTAAAAATATGTTGAGAAAATTATTTTTTTAGAAAAAAAAAAAGTTGCAATAATTGTAACTTCTCAAGAGTTGTTATAGGTCTATCTGGAAATTATCATAAATGATTTTTTAGGCTCCTAATTTAGTAAGGATTGAAATCAAATTTTTAATAGATTTTGAAAAAAGTTGATAAAATATGTGGTTGAAAAGTTGTGAATCTCATAAAAATATATAATTAAAATTATTTGTCGACTTTGGCTGAGTGTCCAAGAGTATTTTTCAATGAAATGTCATAAAATCAGAATTTCAAATCTAGACCCTAATTTTTTATTTGTAATTTCCCAAAAAATTTTATTTGCAAAAAAAGCAAACCAACTAAACTAAAGAAGCCCATCTTAATTACAAAAATTAGTAACACGATTAAGCCGAATGATGACTTGACCATTACAATCAATTCTAATGGTGTGTTTGATTACATTTATTTTTCATGGAAAATATCAATTTTTCACCCAAATTCCTATTTTAGGTGTTTGATTGCTAATTTTTTCTATGGAAAATATTTTTCAACTTTTGAAAATATGCCTAATTTTCCTTGTTTTTAAAGAAAACATTTTCCTTGGATGGAGATGGTTTTTATTTTCCACAAAAGAAGGAAAATATTTTCTTTTCTAGGTGATATTTTTCATGCCAATTAAACACATTATAAGAGTATGTTTGATTATATTTATTTTCTATGAAAAATATAATTTTTCTATCCAAATTCTTACTTTGGAACATTTGATTGCTATATATTTTTCATTTCAACTTTTAATATGCCTAATTTTCTTGGTTTATAATGAATATATTTTCTTCGGGGAATAGGTTTTTTGTTTTCCTCAAAACAAAGAAAATATTTTTTTTTCTAGGTGATATTTTTTGTGGGGCTTGTTTGATACCCTCCATTTTCCACCTTTTTGCATATCTGATTGGCCAAATTTTCCCTGAAATTGATTTTCTTGGTACAACCCATTTTTGCTCCATTTTCTACCTTTTTAAGGAAAATGTTTTCTTATGGGTTTCCCCCTTTTTTTCCTTTTTAAGCAAAATTTTTTTTTTTGGGTTTGGTGGTTTTTTTTTTTTTTTTTTTTGCAATTGAAACAAATTTTATTCCTAATTATAACAAATTTTATTTATTTAATTGACAATTTTCATGAAAAATAAAGCTAAACGAATACCAAAAGATCCAAAATTTCAATATTTTTTAGATGGAAAAGTATACCAATCAAATACATTTAATTAACAATTTCCAATAAAATAAGTTTTAGACAATTAAATTCTCTAAAATTCGTTATTTTTCTAACAAATTTCATTCGTACAATCAAACTGACCTTAAAATCTAAATACACGCCTCGATGCTCGCACTACGTTTAAGGCAGTTAAGCTTATACCACATCGTGCAGATAATGGGAGCCCATTTTTGTCATTTCATCATCCACGACCGCTCGGCGCATTTCAAGTTCCCACGACGCCGGTCCCTCAAAAGGGTATTTGCGTACCTTTCCTTTGAGGTACTGTTTGGGCTCCAAAAGATGTGAAAAACACCATGTGCCGCGAGACCTTTCGTTTCTGTCAGTGAGAAAACTGTGAGCTCTTTTACCTTTTTGTGATAAAAATATTTCATTGGTGTCATGTTTTGAATAAAAAGGAAAAAGAAAAATTTATTTAACATATGAGATTTTAAAAAAAAAAAGAAAAAAAAGGTCGAATCCCAACCTTGAGGGCCCCGCCCCGCCCCGCCCCTAGAGCTTTGTGAGGGAGGTAAATCGTGGGATGTGCCCCAGCAGGCCAGGGAACAAGAGTTGCCTGTACACTGCGCCTACAAGGAGTTCAATTCCACGTCTCAGAAATCGAACCCTCATACTGCAGTTGCCAGCAAGGCGTGAGATAACTTCACTCCAGTCCTTTGTACCACTAGGCTATGCCCTGAGGGGCGAGATTTTTATTTATTATTGTGTATAAAATATAGGGATAAGACATTTTAATCGGAATCGAATCACGGAATTTGACAAATTCCAAAAAACAGATAAATTAGGAACCTCAAGAAACGATTCGTATCGATTCTTGATTATTGAATAGGAAACCCATGTATTCGAATTTGAAACTATTTTTATATTTTCTTATAATTTATTTATCATAACCCCATCCGACCCAATAAATAACATATTAGCAAGGTCCATATGCACTTTACATGCAGCTCGCCACACAAATCTTTCTTGAGGCGTCAAGCTACAGTTTAAATTGAATAATATTATGTTAGATATTGGAAGCTATTTGATAGCATATTTGCGGTGAATTCAGAAAGTGTTAAATTATGTATTTTGTGGCATATATATATTTCTTCTTCTTCTAGATATTAAAAAAGAGTAATTTGTATTATCAACTCATGATTTTTAGTAAAAATATTATGGATAGAACAGAATATGAATCGATGGTTTGAGTTTGGATTTCATTCCAATAATACTGAATAATTTCATTTACGAAATATAAGTGTAATAGGTGCTTCCGAGTATTGAAACACTCGGACATGCCCCGGCAAAGTGTAAGATTAACATATTGATGTCATAGGACTACAGTACGGCCAAACGAGGCCTCATTCACTAAACTATTCATGTGATTTCCTCTCACCCTGAAAGCGGTGAATTACCCACGGGACCCACTTCCCATACTTCTTTCACTTTATGGTTTCCTCTTGTTTGAACTCAAAGTCGACTAAAAAGACTAAAAACACCATTCCTTTTCAGTTAATTACCAGGCAACACCCTTTCCTTGTATTAGCTTCTGGGTTTTCTCGTGTCCAAGAAATTTTCATTTCTTCAATCGAAGAGAAAAATATAGAGAGATGGCTACAAGCGGAGTTTACAGAAACGGCTCAAATAAGGCACCGAATCTCCGTGCATCATCTTCCTTCAAATCGAAACTTCCGGTATCGAATGTCCGCCGCAGCATCCCCGGCGGGGCCACTGACACCGGTGAGTTAAACAATTTTAGCACTCAGCTTCTATCCGAGCGATCTGAATGTTAACGATTAGAAATGCGAGAAACAACCCTCTTACTTAATTGATTGAACTTGAATTGTAGTTCGCGTTGGAGAATTTTTTTAGTCGTTGCACTTGGAGCCTGTGAGAAAATGTGGGTTGAATAAATCTCTGTTTTTTACTGTGGATTTAATTAGACTACGTGGTTGTTAATTTCTTTGTCGTAAGCTGGAAATTCTATGGCTAAAAACACCATGATTGGATATAACATAAAGATAATTCAGTAGTTGGATTATCTAGTTCCGATAGCGCTTTGAGTAGGTGTGTACAGTAGAATTTTTATGTATGCATATGGATGAATGTATGATGTATCTGTATGATGCTAAAATTTGTCAATGTAGTTTGATAAACAATGTTTCTCTCTCTCTCTTCACCTTTCCCTCATCATTACTGCTTCCCATAAACCTTGTTGATGAGAGCAAGCCTCAAGAGCTTTCCAAATACATGTCCGTTGACTTGTCAACCTCGTCTGGAAATCTACAATAATTTTTGGGGTTTTGTGTTGGAAGAAAATACTAAAAGCACAAACACGTCTGCTAGAAATGTGGGAGTTCATTTGTCAAATGTAATAGTTGTTGATCGTGTCTTGCTTAAATGCACACAATCTTGATGAGACTTTTCATGTTAAGACTCTGAAACATCAATAGTTAATACAGATCATGAACATTTATTTTGAAACTCTAATTAATTATAGATTTTTTCTTGTTTAAATTATATAAATTCTTTCCGAAGGGGTTTGATATTAGATTCAATTCAATGCAAATGTAGTTTCAGCTGAATCGGTAAAGCATTCCTAGGGAGTGCAATGCCTCCAATGAATTCCATCAATGAAGCATTGTCACTGCTGCAAACGTCTTTTGCTTTTGTCTGAAGTTGAACTATTGAACTTCTAATCTTTGTTTCCCCCGATATCAATGGTAATTTTGATTTAGTATATTTTGATGGTATCGGACAGTTTCTGGAAGAGTTCGAGTCGCTGTAAGATTGCGGCCTCGAAATGCTGAAGAAATGGCAGCAGATGCAGATTTTGCTGACTGTGTGGAGTTGCAGCCTGAGGTTCATAGCACTAATTCCCATTTTTAAGATCTCAATATATAGATCTTTCGTTTTCATAACTATCAGAAAAAAAAAATAAAAAAAAAATCTTTCATTTTCACACTTGTGATGTAGTCCTGTGATAAAATAGATCCCTTGTGATACCATTGTTCACTTTTTTGCTTTACAGCTTAAAAGATTGAAACTTCGAAAAAACAATTGGGATTCAGATACCTATGAGTTTGACGAGGTTCTTACTGAATATTCATCACAGAAGCGTGTCTATGAGGTTGTTGCCAAGCCTGTTGTCGAGGTATGTTTTTTGAGGCATCTTGTTTTTTAGACTCTGGCGACTTGGTTCTTAAGACATGGTAATATTCGGCTTCCAATTTTTTAGAGGTTCTGTGGTTGAAATTTAACTGCCAATTTCAATATATTTCACACATAGTATTTAGGAGTATAATACAGAATAGTTGGAGAAAATTCCTTATGAAGTATACTCTATTGAGTCTGCCACGTCTGTTGCTATTATGAGCTAAATTTTTAATGAAGCTTCAGTGTACTTATAACCAATGTGTTTCTTATCCTTTGAATGGTGGCTGTGATCCTGCAAAATCGTCCAACCAATCTATGTTCTGCATTCAGTGTTGGACAAAATTAGTGTCTGATTAATCTTCTCTATGACAATCATAACTGATACGAAGTTCGCCTAATTATTCTTACAAATGTTCAAGATTTAAAATTATCCTCATTTTAAATTCTAAAGGTCAGAAGATGGGGCTTTCTATGTACTTGAGGGGTTGGGGCCATTACCCAAGCATTTAAAAATAAAAAGAAATGTAAAAACATTGGACATGTTGTATATATCCATTTGGACGCTGGAGAGACTCTGTTCAATTAGGTGACATGAGCAAACCCATTGGGGTTCAGCAATCCAGTTTCCAATACTGGTGGGAAGTCATGACCGATTGACCACCTGCCAAAGCAAGTAGTCCATGAGGCTTTGTCTCTGACTAAACAATCACCTAGTTGAGGACCAGCTAACATAAACAGTCCGGCCAAGATAAAACCTCAGACATCCAATTAAACTCCACCTGACCATGGTTGTACAAGCCAATATGCAGTAGTACTGAATAGAAACTTATAGCAGAATGTTGGGGAATTGAATACAAACAACTAAAAGTAGTAAGTAACAACCTCCTTAGTCAATCTTTGTTCACTGCCAGAGAACGTGCCCATCATGTGGGGGACCAGCTCCTCTATGTAAGCAGTTCCAAATCCTCACAAATAGTGGTGCTTCCCATGCACTTATACACACAAAAAAGTATCTTGAGCCCTTATTCTGCAAGATTTTATATTCGATCTCAAGAATACGTAAATGACTTGATTGTCAAGGGGAGACACCATAACACTTCTAACTCATTTCAGCATGAAGCTGTCAACATCATCAATGGTAGGTTTTTAACATCTACAAGCCACATGTCAAGTAGGACACATCTAGATGTGTTTGAGTTGTGTCTTCACGTGTCGAAGATGTTAGAAATATATTAAAAAGGGAGAACCATGTGGCACCGGAGTATCCAAGATGTGTTGTTCTAAGAGCGTCTCCGATGCTAATGCTAGATTGCGCTAAAAAGGTTGCCTCGTAAGTATATAGACAATGTCTACAAAAGTTCCTCAACAATGCAATATGTCTAGCTGATGTGACAAGAAAAAGTAGGCATTGTCAAGATGACCATCTAGATGTAGAAGCTTTTCTAAACCGAATGAGTCACCACAGTTTAATATTTCTCTCCCTTTTCTTATTTTTTCTTACTTTTACTATTTTTCTCTCTAATTAAATATACATTAAGAGATGAAATTTGAATTATAGACGGAACTCATTGAGATGAAACTTGAGCTAGTCCATCTATTCACAAGACATTAATGCGATGCAGAATGGGAGCCTTTCTAATTAGATGTCATTGTGCCGCTTAGATTGCAATTCATAGAATGCATTGTAGATGCTATATACATATCAGACATAGACATTCTACCATAGGGGGAGTGTCCTTGCTTTCATAAACGTTGCAATGGACTCGTACAAAAATGTGGGACTATGATTGCATAATTTCATATTCACATTGTTCATATTAAAAATTATTAGACAATTGATAATAATTTTAGCTAGACTTTTCAGGCTTTCCTATTCAGAATCATACTTTGAGACATGACATGGTTCACAGTGCTTCTTCTAATGTGCTGCATGTAATACAAGGGGGTAATAATACATATTAAGATGATGTTACTGCTCAAAATTGTGATACAAATTCTATTATTAAAGGAGTCAGACTCAAACAGCAAGGTTTATGGCGTACAATGTATACTGCTCATGATTACTGGGACCTTTATGTTGATAGATTTGAGATTATACTTTGCTTTGTCCTCAATCACATATAATTCATATTCTACT